GCATAAACCTTTACATACCTTTACATAAAAGGAAACATACATCAATTTGAATTAGGGCACTGAATCATCTAGCATCTCATTGCAGGAAATGATAGCGATTGCAAACTTTTGGACAAAGACATCCTTTATCATTCCCAGGATACCGAACGCAGAGCTCCAGCTGTAAACTTGATATTCCATATTGGTAAACATCTCGGCCCCGTCCGAGTGCACACAAAAGGGTATGGTTCTCTTGAGATCTTCTGATGAAAGGGCATGCAGAACGCCGTGGTGTTTCCAAGGCTCCTGGAGCTTGACGTGGTTCCAAAATGCAAGGACGCCTTCTGGACTCAAATTGCCAAGGAAAATGTCGCGAAACTGCACAGGGCCACAACCAAGAAATCATATGAAATGACATCATATGAAACCATCAAACCAATTGCAAAGCACGCTTCCCCAACACAAGTAAAGACACAGACAACAACGCCTGCGTTTTCCCTGCTGTGTAGAAAGCATGGAGCACTTCGTGTGGTAGAAGCACACTTGCGCCGACTGCCAACGGCGCATCAGACATGTCAGCCTTGGTGCGTACTAACCAAAGCCACCATTACAGTTTTGTTTCCCGCTAGCTATTTGGAACACTACCATACTGATTGCCAGGAACAACAGCCAGAATGCTTTGGGAAGTAACCTGGAGGTTGAGGGTGATCTCATAGCGCTCCAATTGAAAATCAAACACACCCGGTGACAACCATGTGTGCAGATCCCGCTCACAATTGCCATCATGTTTTCCATATGCACCACAACTTGCCAATGAATGGAGAGCTGGAGCATTCAGGCCTTCCCTTGTAGCTGCCCGAGCTATTTCAACTGCCGTTTGGATGTGCGTAGAGCCCCGCCCCACCAAATCTAACAATTTGTTGGCCGTATAGCTGACAGGTGCTTCGCTCAGCTTCACGCGCTTGCTTCGTGAAGAAAAGCCTGCAACACGAAAGAACAGTTGGGCCAAAGCCTCAACACACTCACAAACACACGCAAAGCGAGAAAACCTTCCTCAAATCTCAGTTGCGGGTAGCTTAGGTTTGTGGCGTGGAACTGCATGACAGACATGGTAAGCGTGTGAGTATGAACTCTTTCTGCTCCAGCGCACAGGGCACAAGTGACTGCCTGGTCCACGTAGATGAGAAGTCCTCATGACCCTATACAGATCTACTGGCAGATCTGTACAACTCCGCCCTAAAAGGACTTCAGCAACTAAGCGGTCTTTCTGCGCTTTGAAGACTTAGCTTTGTCCTTGCTTTCATCTTCCTCCTTCTTTTTCTTCTTTTTTGGCAAGATGCCAGCGGCTGAGGCCTGCAACGCATTCGACGCGCAAGCATTGATATCATTGATGAACGATGTGTTTCTTGGCTCGACGCTGAATGGAGAGGGGAGTGGTTGAGGGAACAAATCATTGACGCTCAGCCAGTGGGAAGGTTGAACCATCAGGACAGGAGTCACCGTGAATCACCGTGATTTAACCCTTCAATGCGCCTGAGCTTTCTGGAACCATGCATCTTTCTTGTTCCATTCATTGTTGACCGCTACATAGTCCTTCTCACTGTTCACTTCACGGTTGGTTTTCTCTTGGAATTCCATGTACAGCGACTCCATCGCTGTAGCGTGCTTCAGAAGCAGGGCAGACAGCGCGTCTGCGAACTCAATGTTTTTCAACCGGATCCCCAAAGCCCTCGCTTTCGTGGCTTGCTCCAAGACTTTTGGCATTCTTTCCAAGGCAGACCTTTGGCGCGCAGCGTGATGGGCGATGGGGGCAGCTGGACAATGATAGACGGCTGACGATTCTTGGCGCATGAAAACTAGGTTGGGTGTCTTGGAAAGTTTGAGAAAGGGTGAAGGTGTCATCACATGTCATGACACGAGATGTCATCACGAGGTGTTTGAGTATGGAAGGTCTCTTGTGGACGCGCATTCTCCCTTAAACATCTTTGATTGAGTAGAGACCTATTGGCTTTATTCTTGGGAGGTTGGTAGAGTCTAGGCCCTTGACTTTACTGTAACTCTTGGGTAGAGTCTAAGCCCCTGGCTCCAAAGGTGACTTTGGCTTCAGGTCTTCAGTATCGTTCTTCTCAACCTTGGCCCTCTTCGTTCTTGAAACACTTTTCTTTTCATCATCCAAGGCAGCCAAAAGCTTTTTTGGGCACCTGCTTCCGTTGCAGCGACGACTGAAGGAAGCGCTCCAGGCTGGAAACATCCACCATCGCCTGTCAACGCAGCGAGCCCCGCTTCATTCACTTTGGTGTTAGCCTCAAGTGTAGCTTTCTCACTCGTGCGGTCGTCTTGGCGTACGATTTTGCCCCGTGGCATATACACCCAAAGCTCCTGTCAGACCGTGGGCAATAAAAAGGAATTGATAAGTAGAACTAACTCCATACACGACGAAACCTTTTATGGAACCTGGGCCTTTGACAACCTTTGAACCTTCTTTGCCACCCCGATAAGGCTAAGTTTTGGAGCTCCCTTTTCCCAATATGTCAAGATTGAATTTGTTTGGCGCAAATACAACTTAGTCAGTCCTCCGGGTCATCTGGGAAGTCGCGGTCTTGGTACACCAGGCCGTCCGCAGTTCGTTTCTTGAGGAGTTCATCAAACTTTGGTTCACTGAGCTTCGATCTCAAATCCTTCACCTGAATGGCCTCCCACTGAGACCTTGCCAAGTGGGATTGTTCCTGCTCCTGCTTGACAGCGATGGTGACTTTGTCCCACTCTTGCCCACAGTCGAGCCACATCCCAAACAGAGAGTTCTTGTTCTTTTTGAAGTGCGGCGCCAGCTCGATCGGGAAAGCCTTTGTTTTGGCAGACTTTGAGAACTTGTCCCACTCTCTTTTGTGGGTCGTAGAATTCCGAACTTCTTTTGCCACAGCTTCGGTCCTTGCTGCCGCTGCAGCAAGCTTTTTGCCGTTGGATTCTTCCACTTGGTGGCCCTCCACACATGGATCATCTTCGCCAGCGCTTTCTTCTTCTCCCTCACACTCATCCTCTTCACTTGCCACCTCTGCATCCTCCTCTGCACCCTCAGCCTCTTTCTCCTTTTCATCACCGTCACCACCTTCTTTTTCTTCTTCTTCTTCCTCCTCCTCCTCCTCATCTGCATCGTCCACCTCCTCTTCGCCACCCTCGCATTCCTCCCCTCTTCACCGCCCTCACATTCCTCCTCCGCCTCCGCCTCCTCCTCCTCTTCATCATCCGTATCCATCCCCTCTTCTTCTTGTCCATCAGAAGAATCTTCTGATTCTTCCTCATCCTCATCTTCACTTTCCATCTTCTGTGGTGGAGCCTCGGCAAGCTTGGATGCCATCTTGCTAGCCAAGACTTGGCCACATTTTGGATCAGCTGGATCGTCAGCGAAATTTTGCAAGAAACTCCCCATGCCGGCAGCATCGAAATCAGCCTCAAGCCTTGCTTTCTTGCAGGCTTCTCGCAAATCCTTTCTCGTCAGCAGCGCTTCTTCCGCTTCCCGCTTCTTTTTTGCGTGCAGGGATTCTTCACTCGCAGTGGTCGATGGAGTCTGGCTTGGATCTGGTGACTTGATGAGAACCCTTTTTGTAGGAGGAGTGACATCAACCTTTGGCGCAGGCTTGCCGCCCGGGTTCCTCAAGACACCCTTCCTTGCAGCCGGCTGCGTAGAGGGATCGGAGCCCACTGCATCATCTTTCTTCTCCTCAGCACTACTCTTCTTGTTGGTCTTCTTCCCATTCCCATCATCTTTCTTCTCCTCACCACTGCTCTTCTTGTTGGTCTTCTTCCCATCATCTGTCTTGTCCTCACCGCTGCTCTTCTTATGGGTCTTCTTCCCATCGCTGCTCTTCTCGTCGGTCTTCTTCCCATCATCTTTCTTCTCCTCAACGCTGCTCTTCTTATGGGTCTTCTTCCCATCACTGCTCTTGTCGTTATTCTCATCATCCCCCTTCTTTTTCTTCTTGCCACCATTCTCACAAGGCTTGGTGCCTCCACTCTCCTTCTTATCGTTCTTCTCCGCCGCGTAGTCCTCTGCGCTCTTCGGGACCTTCTCTACTTTGCCTTCATTCTTCTTGCCAGTTTGGGCGAGAGCCAAAACCTGCTTCTTGATATCTGCTGCCTTTGTCTGCGTGAGCTTGCTTGATGAGATGGTCTCCTTCGAGCCAGGTTTCAAGCTTACCACTTTGGGGATAGCTAGCGCCAACTCCAACTGTTTTTTGTTGGCTTCCGCTGTCTTGGGATCTAACTTTACCTCCTCCCTAGGCTTTGATGCACTCTGGACCTTCAGTTTTGAGGCCGATGGCTTCTTTTTGACCTTTGTAGGTGCTTTGGCCATGGTTCAGAGACAGGTCTATTCAACACTGGGCACCACCAACTCAAAAAGCCAAAATGGCCACTGCAGGTGGCATATGTTTGAAGTTTGTCGACGCCCAACTCAGTGGTCACAATTCACAATCAATAGTTTCTAGTTGGGACACACACCCTAGATACAGCTCGCACGTTCTCGCCACCGCTCGCACAGTTCTCGCTCCCGCTCGCACTATCCAACTGTCACTGAAAACACATTTTTTTGGGTTTCGGTTCACCTTCCCCACGGGCAGGCCCCAAGAAGCGCCTTGAGCTGGTTTGCGCTTCAGATGCAACCTTCCCATCGCAGCCTGGCAATGAACAAGATTGGATTGGGTTGGCTTTGGGCGGCCTCAAGAGAGTTTTGGTGTTTCTGGCTACACATGTTGGAAAAGTTGTGAAGATAGAGCAAGACTGCGCGTGCCCCCCACCCCTTCGGTGAAGATCGTACACACTGGTGTATTGCATGTGGCAACTTCGAATATCTTGCTAAAGCATTTCTATCGCTTTACATGTGGGAAGGTTTTGAAGATACAGCATGACTGCAGAGTGGCCATTTTCCCTTCAGTCGATATCACACACACTCATGTATTGCACATGGCGAAGGTGATGCTGCCTAATCGGACTAATTTGGATCACATGTGGATGCAAAAGAAACACTAAAAGCTAGCTACTTGGCCAAAAAAATCGAGGATTGGCTCTAAGTTGGCCATCTTTGTCCATTTGGCATTCACAGCAGCTGAACAATTCGCTCGATTGGCCGTGTTCTTGGCCGCTCTCAGGAACCTTGCAGCTTGAGTGCGGTGCTTCGCAGCGTGCATGGATCGCACCTTGCTCACAGCTCTGCCGAACCTGGGGATGGCCGTGGATGAGGGTGTGTATATGTGTGTTTGGGGAGAACATGACGCAGCCTCAAAGGTTCTAAAAACTTCCTATAGGAACACCTTACAAGTTTGTTTTGCAAAACAAACGCCTTGTCGGATAGGCTTGTGAAGCCTTCAAGTCTCCGCCACCCTTGATACGCTTTTTCCCAGAACCGTCCACGTAGTGAACCACCATCTCAGCACTGTTCTCCGGGACGAGGGAGCGATCCGCAAAGTCATTGATTTCGGACACCTCCGGATGGCCTCAGGAAGAAACCGTTGTGCGCTGAAAAACATTTTGGTGAAAACCCGATACCGTTTTGGCAAAGCAGTGTGATTGCTTTTTTCAATCTCAATCAAACCCTTTGGACACAAATAAGAAAGGGCGCCCAAGAAATGTCAAAAGGTTTGCGTAGGGAATACGCAAGGCCTTTTGACCTTTGTTGGACATTGCTGCAACCCTGGCACTGCTGTACACCCATGTAGGCTTCCTCGTTTTGCCGCCGAACCAACCCATGGATGTGGTGAGCCTGCGCACGTGGATAGATGGAAAGCGGAGGAACGCCTGAAACAGTGGATGTCTCTCCAGCAATGAATTCACCGGTTGCTCCAGCATCCACCAAACTTTGCGAGATTCGCAGAGCAGTAGGAGAATGATGACACGGGCCACCATGATGTTGGCGTCCTCCACGGACTTAAGTTCTCGCCTTCCCAACGGTCTCTCGGAAGTGCGACCCGTACTGCCTCTCGACCTCAAAATCGTTTACTGCTCCGGCTTTCAACGCTCACCATGCAGGAGAAGTTGTCGCGAGCTAATTAAAAGTCCAAGACAAAGGGTCATGGAAACGGACCCCCCCAAGTCCCATTTGGCGCCTCCAAAATACTAGGTTTTTGACCATGGGTGTAGGACTTTGGGGGGGTCCGATTTCAAACTTTCCCCAAGCCCAAACCATAGGGAACATTTGCCACAAGACAGTTGAAAGGACACAAAGCACAAGTTGGCCCTAACAATGGCGGATATTTACAAATACACAAGCACACATATTCAGAAAGCAAATTGCAACTGAGGGGCAGGAACACCCAAGATGAACAAACAGGAGCAGTGAATTTGCCACTCCCAGGCCGCAACCGGAGCACCTGGTGCAACATGTTGGCGTAGCCCACATCCGAAAGGATGTCATGGTCTTCAGACAGCACCACATCCATGGGTACTGCTGCTCGTTTTGCCTGAAGGGTACCAGGGTCGTTTCACGAAAGCGTTATGGCTTATGAGCTTCGCCAAACCAAATCTGAACAACCTTCTCAAAAACAGTGGGAGGCACTGATGGCTTTCCCAACCCCCACCTCCCACTCGGCACGTGTGATTGACATGCCCCGCTGAAGGTCTCCAAGTGTTGAAGCGGTTCAAAGCTGAGCGATTGGATGCCAAACATCAAAGAGGCCAAATACAGAATGACCTTCCAGGGAAATTGAATTATTGCATAACAGTGTGACTGGGAACGGGTTCAAACATGTCAGATCAATCACCTCAGCCTGCCACATTTCCACTTGGATTGAGGGGTCCTGTTGTCATAGCCCAAGTCAACCCAAGATCAAATCCCCATGTATTGGCTCAACCTCAACCGATAGTGGAACTAGCTGGCATTGAAACATGAGACATGTCCCACAAAAACCTCCAAACAACCTTTTCAAACAAACTTCCCACCATTGGCGCTTTTAAGGAGCGCAGCCCGGCCATTGTCCACGCTCGCTGCTTCTGCTTGTATGTGCTGGGCTTCGGCGATGAGCTGCCAGGCTTGAATTTCATGGCGCGCATACTCTTCTTCGCCTTTTGTGGGACTCCTTTCATCCCGGAAAAGCACAGCTTCGACCACAAACAGAACTATGAGCGCTTGGGCCAACTCCAACTCGACATGTTGTGATTTTGCTATTCACTGCAGGGTGTGAAATGTAAAAGCCTGCTGACACTAGAGTTGCATTCCCTGTTCAAAATCGCTTCTAGAGACTTCCATTCTAGTGCTCATGACTCAAGCGTTGACCTGCAAACTCACTGAAAATCTTGTCGTTTGAGCGCGTCTGCGCAAAGGCCTCGAAGATCCTCGAAGAACTCGCCTTGCGGCGGTGATGCAAAGATCCTCGCACGGCATGCCGGTGGAAGATGGTGGAAGCTTGGCAGGTTCTCCTTTGGCCTCTTGGTGGGTATACTGAACTAGAAACTGTGAACTGTGGGGAATGTCTCACCGTTGGCTTTCACACGCGCATGTCTTTCAGCGCGCCAACTAAAACAGTCCTGGGAAACGTGATGGTCCCCACTCCCAGCGAAGCCGAAGTCCAGAAAGAAGTCCTGCAGTATGGAAAACATGCACAAGACTCAGCCCTTCGTATATGTCTATGCCATAATGAAAGTTCCTTGCTGATTGACTCTCTGTTGATCGCAACTTCAATTTTCTCAAGTGCATAAAACAAAGACCCACCCAGCTGTCCTGACCCCCGACAAGCCAACCAGCCGATTCGATGTAGACGAGGTCGAGGTAGGCCTGCGCGGAGACAAAGTGGACACTTAACTAACTAGCACCTCCAGGAACTTCCCCAATTTCATGAGTCGTGTACTGTTGTGTTGCACGTCCAATGCACAAGAATCGAGAGAGGGTTCTGTTGATACACTGCTGATGGCTTATGAAAGGGTCACGTGGCCTCCAGATGGCTGCACCAGCGTGGGATAGCCGGGTAGACGATGATCACGATGTAGGCCTGGCAGAGCTACCATCCAAGGTTGCACGCACTTCTGCCAGATCATGGCTGAGGCAAGACCCTTGGCTTGTCAATATTATTCCGTTCCTAGTTCTTACCGATTTACAAAAAAGGCTTTCGTTTCGTGTTTCGATGTGTGCAAATTGAACATGTCATATGTGGCCTCCTCTTAGGGCGGGTAGGTGACAAAGACGTTATAGGTACCTGGAACGCCGCGATCCAAGGAGTGGTTTGTGGTGCCTTTGCCCTCACCATGCGTTTCCTTCTTTACTGGGACATGTCTCTTGGCTTTTTCCCCAATTCCAAGAACGGTCAGGAATCTAAGATCCAAAGGAGGCCAGACTGTCAGAGTCAGAGTTGAGCCCGACCGCTATCTCTGGAAACTCGAAATTGAAAGACTGTTCATGTTCGCCGTTCACCTCCGTTTTGGAGATGTTCCCAATAAATCTCTGTTCACAGAGAAGACCCCATCCTATCCACCAAAATTGGCACGGAGTTTTGCTGCTTCCCACGCAGCCTGGACAGTGGGAAACTTGCTCCACGACACCTGGCCCTTGCTGGTCTGACCTTCGACATGCCCACCAACACGCTTCACCACAAAAGCCCGGGTCTTGCACAATACTTCGATGGCCTCAGCGCAACAAGGGGTTCATTGCGCGCACAAACACTTGTGCATGGATGCGCTAAGAAAAACCCCCCCGGCGCCCTAAAGATAAAAAAAGCTCATACCAACTTTTTGTTGAGAAACTGCACCATTGGAGGTGTTGACTGTATACCCTAGCTTGCCCTTGGTGGGCCCACATGGCCACGCTTCAGCTGGCACACCAAGCTCTTGCAGGTTGAAGGTCTGGAACATGTGCTTTTCCCCCAAGCACCCATCCGACTCAGGACCTGCGGCTCCACCTGCCTCTTGCTTGGCCTGCTTGGCCTTCTGCGCGCCTTTCACCTGGGATTGAAGCAGAAGGAGATTTGGCGCAAATGGGCTAAAACAACCTTGTCAAAAGGTGGGGCAAAAAGAATGCCAACAATTTACCGCAAGTAATGGGAAGTGAGGAACCGTTTGCAAGCCAATCGGTGATGGGGTGATCTGGCCATCGCTGAAAGCAGATTGAATGTGTGGTGTGTGAGGCGGCGTCTCCAAGCTAGGTAACTTCGTAGCTGTTGCACCTCCAAGATTTTTTGCGGTGCCCGACTCAGCGCTTGACTTCAAAGCCTCGTTCAATGGACACTGGCCATCATCCTGGAGAGGGTGCAAGATTGATACTTATAGTGGGTTGGACCCCGGTTTTACCATATGTGCGTATGTCTTTACTATAATTAAGATGTATATATAAACAAGATGTATATATAAATAGTATGTAATCTATAGTATACTATAGCGAACGTTCATATATGGGACGAGGCTCCTGAACAAAAAGTTTCCGCTTCACACTGCTGGAGCAACGGACTTGGGAGGTATCGTCAATGCTCATGGCAGGCGGCTCACAGGGCGGAGCAATCTTGTCATCCTGCAACGCGAGAGCTTTACTTAATAAGAGGCACAGAAAATGATTAGTAATTAGCGAACGCATGCGAAAACCATTGAAACTTGTTTTGAACACATTCGTCAAAAATTGTGGCAGAAGAGGCATAGGTCCTTAGCTTTAGCTACCTCCTCTTCCAGTTCCTCCTTCACCTTCACAGACGACGCCTTCTGCGAGTGAAAGAACCGTTCTTCCCACATCTCAATGTGGTCACGTGACCCCAACCATACCGACGCCTTCAACCCATACTTGCTGTAGGCCCACTCGCAGTGGCTCATGTACTCCGGAAGATGCTGTGCCCTGGGCAGCGCGTGCCAGAAAACGCAACAAAATGAGAACTCATCACAGACAAGAAAGCCCAAGCAAAGAAAATCTTTTGAGCAAAGGAAGGGCTACCGCATGATCGGATCCTTCTCAGCTGCAAGGTGCTGCATCAGCGCCATGCACATTTCCACAATGTGGCTCCTTGGCCATCCTGAATGGCCGGCTTCGGGAGACTCAAACATGTGCATATTGCGCGGCACCTCCATGAGGCAATCCTTCTCTGATTCGGCTTCACTCTCCGGGTCAGACGCCCCCAACCGCAAAGTGGGGGCATCCAAGCCATCTGAATCCGAAGCCGGAGATTTAGATTCTTGGGCGATTGCGGCACCAAGTGGATCTTCATCCTTCAGGGCCCCAAACAGACATCCAAAAAGGGATGATGGTAAAGGGCAATGGGGCAACACACTATCTACGCGTCAGACTGCATCTGTCCTACATGAGAGATCAAAAACAATGAGGACACTAACAATGCAGGGATTTGCTGTCCTTCTCAACTTCAAAGTCGCTGCAGTCACTGTCACCATCAGCCTCGAAGATACTGTCACCTATGGCAGGCTTGCCCTGGGACTCCACATCCTGGCTATCAGCCTCAACCACACCCTGGCTATCAGCCTCAACCACATCCTGGCTATCAGCCTCAACCACATCCTGGCTATCAGCCTCAACCATTTCCACATCCGATCCACCCTCAGCAGGCCCATTGTTCAAAGGCTGCTGGTCATCAGCATGCTCCTCACCAACCTCCTGCGCAGCATCTTCTTCCTCGGCGGAAGTCCGTGACCGAGTGGGAGACCTCACCAACAAGCTCTTCAAGTAGGTGATCTGAGGGTGGTTGCCAAGCTTGCCTCACTGTCAAGCACACAAAAACTCGTGAACCTTTTACGTGCAGCGATCAGGGGCAACAAATAGGAACCTAACAACTTGTCAGAAGAAAATGCAAATGCTAGAAACTCGAACGCCAAAGCCCTCGCAGCGCGCCAATCAGCCGCTTGCAATTGGTCGCCTCTGCGGCTGCGAGGGTCTGCTTTGTGTCACCAGCTTCTTTTGGCTGCAGGAGTTTGCCCATGAAGAATTGGTCACACATCAGGAAGGTGTCTGCTATCATGAAGCCTGACGGAACTTTGTCAGGCGAGGCCTTTACAAAAGGCGCCACCCAAGCAAAGTTCAACTTGATGTCCTCGACACTAGGCTTCACCAGTTCATCCAATTGGGTCAGCTTTCCGCCATGCCAATCAGCGCTGGTCAGCACTTGCACCACTGGAAGGGGTAGGCCTGCCTTCAGTTCAAATGCCAGTGCCCTGACATCTTCTTCCTTCCATGGAACCTTCCCGGCACCTGAGCGTTTGTCGCCCTTGCAGTAACCTACCTTTTGAAGACGCAGGCACCAGTCAAACCCAAACCAAAAATAAAACCTTATGAATACAGGATAGGGGCGGACACTTTTCCATGTTGATATCTGTGCGGCAGCAGGAAGCTCCATGACCTGCCTGGCCTACAAGTTTAAACTACCGAGCCCGCAAACAGTTGCTGGAAGCTGGGCATGCTTTTGCT